AGTTCCGTTATAAAGACCACTAAAAAGAATCAAACAAATAGTTAAACATTAACAAAAATGATTTATAACAACAGATGCACAATTTAACTCTTATCTCTTTTCATAAATCTTGCCTCAAACAAAATGATATTGAGTTTTTTATTTTAATAAATTTTTCTGTGATGTGATCTTTGTGTATACTTGATCATTATGAATACAGACACTTAGAGTTGCACTTAGTAAGAATCAAGTTCACTAGAACTGATCTGTAAAACTGACCATCTAACCACCACTTGATAGAAGATGCTCTTGTTTATGTGAATGTACTTTGCACATCTTAATTTTAGTGTATCAACATCATACAAAGCTCTTTCTCTCTCAAACACACAGTGAGTATATTACTTTTTTGTGGATCTTATTAAAAGTTATACCAAGCACATGCATTACTAAAAGTTTTATGGCAATAAACTGATTGCCAGATATTCAGAATCAGTCAGTTCCATTGTGTGCACATTTTTTTTATATGCACACTGTATGTAGCTCTATCTAAAGGATAGTGAGCACTATCAAAAAATCAACATTAGCCTAATTTGTGTTTTATGGCAAGCACATAGTGGGTGCTGGTGGTAATAAAACAGTGTTCAAGATATATAACTTCCAAAGTCTTTGTCATCGTTTTAAAACAATATTGGTGTTGATTCACAATTATGCCAGTTTTATTTTGAATTACTTTTTATCTGGATATATAAATAAAATCTAAATGATACTGTATATACATATGCAGTGTTTTTTTCTTCTGGTCACTTTAAGTTGGCATGGATGCATCATTTGAGGAAACGTTTATCTTTTTGAAGTAGACTGAACAATCTCTAGAATAGTGTAATGTAATGCCATACAACTGTTTTGTTTTTCCTGAAACAAAAATTTTATATCCTGAGAAGCATGTTTTGTAGTTGGTAGGTCACTTCCTGAATAGAGATTTTCATTCTCCCTCAAGATTTTTTTTGCTGAGTTTTATTTCTATTCTTTATATTTAACTTATGGCTCAGTTTTTTTTTTTCTAAAGTTGTAACTTTAGTTCTATCTTCATTATCCATATTTGAAAATATGGTGATATATTTAAATAATCAGAACAAGTAACTAGATATTTTTGAAATTTCACATGCATAGTCCAAAATCAAGGAAGGAAGTGTTGGGTAGGGTGATATTCTGTCAAGATTCCAAGTGCCTGCTTACCTTGAAAATAAGCATGTAATATTGTGGTTTTTATCTGGGTTCAAACACCACTGACTGCTAAATATCTTGATCACAAAGCAGACCTTTCTACATAGACTTGTATTGATAAGGTTTGATAATGCCCATTTAATTTTGACCCCTATTTAGCTAGAATAAGTTTGTTGCTTTAGGTTCTCTTAGAACGTTGAGCCACCATAGGATGGGCTAAGCTAATAACAACAGGGTTTCTGGCTGATTTACATTCTGTTTCCCCTCCCCCTTTTTTTTGTTCATTCTTATTATTATATTATTTATTTATGCCTCTTGTCAGACACTTATATAGCAGGTATATTAATGTATATAAATTGAATAAAGTAGGTGTGTGTGTGTGTGTGTCACACACACACACACAAATTGAAAAGCCCAGTCGACTTCTTTGTAAGAAACTTAATTTAGATGGGATTTTCTATTCTATCCCCACTTATCGTTAGACGGTCCAGTTTCCAGTGTTTTTTTCTTTCTTTCTTTTTTACAGATTTAATAAACTTTTGTTTCCTGCAGAATCTTTATTTTTTTTTTTTTTAGCGTAACAATATAAATTTCTAAGCTGGAAAAATAAAACCAGGTGAAGACAGTCAGAGAATGGACCGACCGAAATATAGGGAGTTGTCAAACATAAAAAGAAAAACAGTCAACAAATTACTACACACTTAAAAAAAAAAAAAAGTGTTCAATTTTTACATTTATTTTTATTCATAAGAAGAATGAACCGACATCTGGAAGTTGGGTTTTAAACGTTTTTATACCAAGTTCTTGAACTGATACTTCACTTTGATCTCTAATGTCTTTGGAAAGTTGAGTCATAATTAAAAAATAAAAATAAAAGCTGTCTTTCTTCCTCTCCCTTGACAAATTTGAATGAAATAAGTAAATGAATCATTTAAAAAAAAGTTAACTGATCTTATTCTATAGTTAAAAATAAATTTTTAATTTGTAGTAGTTGTAAAAAAAAGTTGAAAATCTGTCCAACATTTTTAGTTAGAACTGCTTTCCTCTTCAACAAATCCTCATTCACAAATTAAATTTCATTATACGTCACTATTTTGTTCCTCCTCCTCCTTCTCCCACTATAGCCTAATATACTATTAATACTACTACTGAACACCCCAATACAGTTTGTTCAGCTCAACCACATACATAGACACAAGCATTTGTTGTTTTTTGTAAGATTATTAGTTTTCTGTTTGTGCATTTCTCCCTTGCTGCTGATTCTACTACATTTACTCGAGAAATTATTTCGAAAATCATGTGGCTCTTAGGAAATGGTTGCCGAGCTGCTGGCTATCCTCTTCACATGAATTCCACTAGTACTACTATTCCCTCCACCACCACCAGTCTCTCTACTTCTGGTGAGTAAGCTTTAGATAACTTTTATTTATTTTTTTTAATAATAAGTTATTATTCATCCGACTATCAAATGTTTACTTATCAAGGACGTGAGTATTTTAAACGGAAACTGGAAACTTAAAGAATTCTATTTCCAAACTTTACTCTATTGTTTTAAGAGTTTTTCTTGTTTGCTAATTCCAGATTTAGTGACATTTTTTTATGCTTTTTATATTTGTAAAGGTCATTTTTTTTAACCTTTGTGTGTGTTTTGGAAGAGCTCGAGATCATTTTAATTTTTGTTTTTGAGAACTGTAACAAACACATTTACAGTTTGTTTTTTTTTTATCAAAAATGTTTAGTAATCGGAACTGTCGATTTTCTTAGAGGTGGGCACGTGTGTCTCTAAGTTTATCGTTATTTATTACTACCACACGGCCACAATGAGAATCGAACTCACGACTTTCGTGAATTTAGAGAGTAAACTACGAGGTGAGCTCGCTTATAATCACGCTGTTGTAAGCGATCAATGTAAATTAGAAAAAGGGTCGTAAAAATGTTGAAGTGTTTAAAATGAGACTTCAAAGAACAGAAAGAAACACGAAAAAAAATTCTTATTAATTACAATCACCTTTGTTTGTTTTTTTGTTTTTTTTAAGTATGCCATATCTGTAGTGTTAACTGGTTATACATATATACATACACTCATTTGTAGGGGTGCTAAAAAGTTCTCAGCTCGACCCATTTCCCAAAATGTGCTCAAATGACCAAATATATTTTTGAACCTGGGGAGGGGTGAACTTTTCACTACCGCGCACGCGTGTAGATTGTAAAAATTGAGGAGTATTTTTTTATTTTTTATTCAATACAAGCAAAAATCATTTCTTTTTCGTGTATCTTTTCTGTATGACAATCTGCAAAGTGTTGCTAACCCCTAGAAAACAAATCAGTCAATGCAAAATTTGCGAGAAATTATTCCAAAAATATCTTTCTTAATTACTTACACATAAAATATATTGACTTGGAATATTAGCTTAAATTTTTCTCTAGTCTATAAATTTTTTCTCTAACTAAAATTGTTTAATAGACATATGAGAATTCTACTTAAATATTTTAGGATATATTTTTTAAGATTGTGAGAATTATTAGTAGTAAAAGACTGATGTTTGATGCATTTTTAGTAAGGACCAAAAGAATGATAGCTTACAATACTGTTTATGTTGGGATTGGTAAAAAAAATAGAAGTACTAGAGTCACTTCATCTTGTTAAATTTTATGCCATTCCTCGCCATTCCTTTAGAGCCTGACTTCTGTTCAATTGGAACCAAAGACACATTTCAGTAGAGCCCACCTAACACTAGGGATTGGTCAAGATGTTTTTTTAGCACTGGATTTCTCTAAAAATGTCTGCAAGATTTCACACTCCTCTTCCACTCCGATATTTACACCACCAACTCTCCCCTCACTGATGAGATGTTAGGTACCCTATGTAGGAAAATGGTTTGGCTTTATCCAACAGTTTTTTAAATTTCTTTGTTTCTACAAAACTTTAAAAACAAACAAACCAACAGACTTAATTGTTTCAAATTCAATGAAGATGCATTGTGACATCTTGCCGTGCAGCACTTGTAACAAAGATAGTTTTGGTGACTATTAATGATTTGAATTCAAACTGAATGTCCCACAGTTGCAGTCTCTCTCCAAACCAAGTTTAAATACTTGGTCTGCTTGATGGGTAAAAAAAAAAAAAAATGTATTTACCACAGGCACAAGTTGCTCAGTGTTTGAGCCCAAATACTGATTTTGTATTTTCTTTTCTTTTTTCAAGGCACACAGACAGGCCCTCCCTTGAAAAATTGATGCTGCACAATCTTCCCATATCCATTTGTCTTTGTGCTATATTTATCTTAGTAATAATGAGTCGCACACTTTGTGATTTTTAGTAGGAAACTAACCTGAAAAAAGTCACCGACTAACTGCCCTCTTTGCAGTTAAAACCTTTCTGATAAGAAGAATTGAATTCATATTAAAATTTAAATAAAAAAATCTATTATGAATATTCTGTATAGAAAGTGGCTGATTGTTTTGCATTAGTACCACTTGTTTGAAGCCAAATAAAAGAACAAAATTTTATATTGATTTTTGAAGTAGGCTCTATTTAGAAAATTGGAGCAACATAATCTTCCTATATTTTTTCTTCTGTGCCAGACTAAACTTGATAAATATCTGTGTACTCACACATTCATACACTTGATACATTTGCATATTGAGATAGACAATAGTTGAATAAAATTGCAAGAGTGATTTTAAAAGATCTAGAAAAGTTAATTTTTATTTATTTATTTTTTTTTTTCAGAAAAAAATGTTAAAAACTATAAATACCTTCACTTTATTTATATTTTGACACACCTGTTGTATAATTTATAATTTTTTTTACCAATATGCTATTTTGTAATTACTAAATTACTAAAAGTAGATAATTAAAAAAAATCACTAAAAGTAGATAATTAAAAAAAATAACTATTCTATTACTAGAGTATTATCGACAATTTAAAAATGAATTAAACAAATTCTATCATGCTGCAAATTTTCCTGCATTTTTTATTTATTTTTAAGTATTAAAATTGCTGCCATTATTAAAATGATTTTATGACTAAATATCACAGATTTAATCCATGAATTAAGGAAGTCTGTAAAATAAGGTGAGAAGTACAATTCCAATATACCTTGCCAATTAAGTTACAATTTTTTTTAATATTTTTAAAGCTGCCTTTATAAAATATTACAAAATTACTGAAACTATTATTAAAGTCAGTATTTATTGATTATTAGAACTGATAGTTTCAAGCACTAAATGGTAACATTCAGAATTTGATTTATTAGTAAGGATTTTCTTCCTTTGACAATTTTGTTTATTTGTCTTTAACAAAATATTTTTCTTCATTTAACAATGAAAACTCCCACTACTGAGTAAATTAAAAATGAATGAGTTTTCATTTGCAGACATATTGTTGCTAATGGAGGCTGAAGGTTTTAGAATTTAATGTGAACTTGGAAGAAGAATATATTTTAATCTTATAAAAAAAAAAAAAATATTAAAAGACAATTTTACAATTCTCTATAAAAATTAGATTAAAATAAAAATTTTTTTGGTCACTTTTTTCTATTCCATCTTTTGACCATGTCACTTTACATATAGTAGGCAAAGATTAATAAGAAAGCTAATTTTATCTGAAGAATTATTTTTTTTATGTAATGAGCTTAGTTTGGCACAAGGTCATAATCTGTGTGCATAAAACTTACTATACTTATGAATTGTTGAATAGCTTATTAAACATTGTGCTATTGATAAGTATTGCAGCAATTTATTATTTAAATATTTCTTTTTAAACTGTTGTTTTCTTTCATTTGTTAAAAGTTTCAATTAGCATACTGATTATATATAAGATTTTTTTTTTCTAACGTGAAAAATATAAAAGCAGTCTTTTATTTTATTTTCAATCACGAGTACAAAAGATTTACCAGCACAGTGCAAAAATATTTGAATGTCTTATCTATCTCTCTCTCTCTCTATATATATATATATATATATATATATATATATATATATATATATATATATATATATGTGTGTATATTTATATATCTTGACAAACTTGTCATGGAATATAGACAAGAATTTTTTGCATGTTCATAGAAACTGTAAGAGAATGTCTTATTTTCTTAGTATTTAACAATCTAAAAGATGTTACACTTGTAGAAATTAATGTGAAGAATTTTCTTGCAGTGTTTGATGAAAAAAATCTTTCTTTCCCTGACATCCTTACAGTTTTGTAATTGAAGCAGTAGCAAAAGAAATATTGAAACTGACATATTTTGCTGATTAGCCATTAAACAATTATATCCATGATGCTTGGATTTGCTCCTCTTTATTCTCCTGTGTTAATAAAAATAAAATCCCTAGGAATTTTCTGGATATTTTGATTAAAATGAAGAAAAGAGCAAGAATTTTATAACTATTCTCACCCCCTCCCCCATCACTCTCTTTGAATAAAGAAAATTGCTGATTCAGCTATTTCTCCTCCCTGCATTTTTCACGTTTTGTTTATTACCTCACAAAATAGGCTTTTACTCTTACCTTTTCACCAGTTCATGGTTATTTTCTTGTTTTTGTTCCTCAGTTTAGTAGGGAGGATAGATTCCCTTAAGGTAAACAGGCTTTCAATAATACATTGCACAGTTGTTTTATTTGACATTTTCTTATGAGGAAATAGTTGAATAAGGAGAGCCATAACTCATGCAAACACACACAATGTAAATTCTACCGCCTTTTGTGATATCACGAGTAGAGATTTATTAAATCCATCCAAATTTTTATTCCCTCCAATGCTTCTATATCTAGTTACATAGGAAATAATAAAAGAATATATTGGAATTTATAGGAAATGATTTTACTAAAGGAATGCATTAGAAATTATTTTAATTATTTACATTTGCACTAATGTTCTCATCATTTTTACAATCACAACATTTTGGCTGTTGTATCCTACGGTCTTCTTCAATCAAAATGTAAATATCACAGAAAAATTCATATGGAAATTATTTTGTTTTAATCCTACATCTTTATGGAAGCTGGAATATTATGGCTAGGATTTATGAAACAAATCCATCCAAACTTTCATTCCCTCTAATGATTCCATATCTAGTGATATAGCAAATACTAAAAGCATCTATAGAAATTCATTGCAAATGATTTTACTATAGGAATGCATTAGAAATGATTTGAATACTAGCTCTTTATGGAACCTGGAATATTATGGCTAGGATTTATGAAACAAATCCATCCAAACTTTCATTCCCTCTAATGATTCCATATCTAGTAACATAGTAAATATTAAAAGCATATAGGAAGTAAGCAGATGTCATAATTTCTATAATAAATTTTATGAATGACCAAACATTATCTTTTAAATAAAAGGTTGAATAGTAATAAAATGTTTCTTCTTATCTATGCATATCTTAC